CGTTAAAGTAATCATTATTTTAACATGTTTTCAATCTTTAAATAATTGAATAGATAAAACTTAGAGAAGGGAATAGGTTTGGTGCCATTTCTTCTTTCTGGGTTACGTGTTAATTTTTGGATGTAAAAAAGAGACGGACACAAAGGTGAAGAAAAAAAGAAATTTATTTATACGAAATGGCAGGCGTTTTGATAGTTATCATTAGCCCTTTAGTTGACTTCGGGCTTCACAGAGGGGAAGGATCATCAAAGTGAAAAAGTCGAGAGGGGGGGGGGACAGAATAGTGTTTCAAAAATGTAAAAGAGACAGACACAAAGGTAGAAAAAAGCTGAGGTGAGTACTGTGGAAGTGATGGAACATGACTTACAATCGGGTCACGGTAGTTTGAAGTCAACTGTCGGTTTATTGACTTTTTGTCTTATAAGTATACGTTGCCCAAAGGTGTACCAAGTGGAGGTAAGTCAATCGCGCACCCCGAACCAGGAAAAATAGGGAAAAACGGATTGAGTCAAGAGAGATGTTGTACTTTTCTAAATTTCATGAATTTATTCCACTTTTTCACCTATTGACGGATTAATTTATTTTTCTTAGGCTTAAATGTTTATTTATGATTTCCTTCCCACTAATTATGAGTGGTAGAAATGAAATAGATATTTATTCACCTATTTCTTATCTCCCTCCGCTTTATTTTTAAAAACACAGGAATAATTCATAAATAAAATCATTGTAGGCTTTCTTTTTATTGGGCAACCCTGGACAAGTGGGACTAATCGGTAACTCTTGTTATGGAAGGAAATCGAATTTATTCATTACGACCTTGATTGAGGTGGAAAATTTCTTTAAATATTATCGGGTTCTCTTTAGTTATATGCGTTAACTGGTAAATATGAAGTAACCATAGATTCTGAAAGGACTGACTACCCTTAATTTGCCTTCAAATTGTAAATTAATTCTTTTTCTTAATGGATATTATTTCAAAATTAATTTACTTACTGATCTCTTAATAAAATTTACTGACTATACGACTCCTGCGGTCGATACTCCATCAAACTTCCTTCCCTTCAATATATTGCCATAGTTTCGTGTTCCTCTCACAAACATTCCATTAAAACTGCTCTTTCTCCTCTTGATAGACACTAGGTCTTGGAATATTACGCTATCTCTCAATTCACCAATAATTTTAACTTTTGATGAAATCGATAACCAATTGAAATCCAAACAGCCGATTCCAACAATATCTGGTAATTCAGATTTAGGTATTGCTCACCACTTCAGGTTCCAATGTTCCAATGGCGAATTTCAACTGTGATTAGTCATTCAGTTTAAATCCATTTTTAGAGACTATACTCTTAAAGGATGCCAATAACTATCATGGCAGAGCTTATTGGAGTTCACACACCAAAATATCTCCTCTAACAATGTTTATTCATAATAATGAAATCTACCATATTATAATAAATTCGCTGACTCCTCTCTACCCATATTTATTACCGTTGTTCCATTAAATGGACAATAGCTTTCCCCTTCAACGTTTTATGCTTCGTCCTTCATTTGGGACTTACTTTCGCTCCAGCTGCTCCCCAGACGATCACTACTGACGATCACAGTTAAACTAGCACTTGTTGAGTAAATATTAGAGATTATTCGTGGTAGAGAGACCCTCGTAATTGCTACAGTGATTAATCTTTCGGACAGATTGTAAATAATGAAATTTTTCGTGATCCCCCCCCCTCCTTTCGTGGACTTTTCTTTGAATAAATCAACCAAGATGCACTCACTATTAGCTCAATTAGGTCTTGCACGGGTCTGGAAACAATTAGCCAATTTCGCATGGAGAGTGGCTGCCATCCTTACCCGGGTCTTGTGTACCACATTGCTCAGCAATTCCACGTAGGCATCTGAAATTAGTGTTCTTCAACCCCCCCCCCCATCTTTGAGAAGAAGTTGGATGAATCGAAAGAGAGCATATATCTGAAAATTGCTAAATTATTTTTCGATTCTAGGAGTTTGTTACGAACGTAACACAACATAGGGCTATCAGTAGTACCTCCACGAAATTATGTGAATATATAGTGTTTCTAATCGGTCATAACTTTGATACTAATGCTGAGTCGTTCCTAGACCACTTGTATGCTTGTGTGTTGAAGTTAAAGTGTGGAATAATTGAGCATTTCAGAACACTTTATTAGCTAATTGTTATTTTTCTCAAATGCCCACGAGTACTGCAAGTTGAATGAAGAAACATAAAGGCCCATGTGAGAAAAGCCGGTGATATGTGAGTTTTACTCACCTTTAATGATGTATAACAGCAAATTAAGTTATTCTGAATTAATGTTAAAATGAAAATCTCATCTTTACATGTAGATTATTTTAGTAAAATTATTTTGAAATTGAGTTTGGACTGATTTGACTAACCTATTGTTGTGCTTACATATTGTTAACTGTAAACCAACTGGTGGTATCACATGTTATTTAATTGGAAGTTGCATCTTTAGTACTCTGCTTATTTAATAGAAGGCATAAATTTTGACCATAACATTCCAGTCGATTTTTTTGAAGTAGGATAAATGGTAACCAGTAACCTAGGTGTTTGCAGTGTTTCATTGAGCTATCAACCGTCTGGCTTATTTTCAATCTTTACCACACAAAAAACGAGGAGACAAGGGATCGTGCTGAATGAAGAACTATTTCAACACAAGGGGGAAAGCTCTGAAGATTGCGAGAGAAGGAGGGGGTGGGGTGGGGGGGGGAGAGGGAGAGAGGATCACGGGCATGTGTGAGGGGAATTGAATGTGCATGTGTACGAACGCCTCATAAATTGGGGGCTCTTTCTTAAAAAAAACAAATTGAATAGAGCCGTGTGATAACGAAATTTCGATCAATTATGACACTTATTCAGCGTTTGAACAAAATCGAGATTTGTATATTTGATGTTACCTACTTGAGTTCAAGTAAGCTGATCCGCCTTTTAAAAATTCAAAGAAGTAAAAGTGGAGTAATATGGGAAATATTTATGAAATTTTTACTTTGGTTAGTTGTTGCTAATGCAAGTTTTCTTACTCATATATATACTGTAAACTAGAGTAGCTTATTGAATAAAATTAATGCCTTTCGAGTAAACGAGAGAAATCTTAAATATGGAAAATGCGGCTTCCACTTCCACTGCTCATAAAAATTGAGGTTTCCTATCTAGTTAGTTCAATGATTTATCCGGGGCAAAAGTGGAGAATTACCATGTGGGACACATTATCGCTGTGTGCGTCATCGTATGCCCGCATGTCTGCTCCCCAGGTTTGGGAGGTGCGGCCGTACAACTCTGTGTGCAGCGACTGTACAAACAGTGACCAATCATAAACCTCTGTTTAACCTAATCCCCCATCCTGATCATGAGTAGCTCCCTGCGTGCACACTTTATCCACAATATACTCACTGAATAAACGTGTTCCGTGCTACACGCCTGTTTTCTTTATAGCTGCCATAGAAATTTCCGAGTCAGTCAGGCTTTACTAAGGTAGCAATCCGCTTCATATCTAGTCAGTTAAATGATCTATCCTAAAAAATGAAGTATGAAAAATTCTCAGGCGAATATTCCGCTGGAATGTGCAACTTACCTTTTTTTCAAAAATACGCCTAGTGACATAACAAAAAGATTAGTCAAGTCTAGAATAGTAATAAGAATATTAACCAACTATTAAATATAAAATCTGACATTTGAAATTTAAGTGTAATGAATAGTCTATGTGGATTCGGGAATTCTGGAGAATCAAAATAAAACGAAAGCAAAACAGGTGCGCAATTTCATTAACAAAATAATAAATTCACCGTGTGTACGAACAAAGAAATCATGATAGGAAAGGAACAACTCTGTCAAAACTGTTAAAAGGAAATTCTCGAGCCAGAATATTTTGGAAGGTTCTTCATGTTGCCAAGTGAGTAAGAAACAAGTGAACTTCTCTACTGAACAGTGAACAATATTCTGTCAAAGTAATGCTAAACACATTTCACAATGGATTGCCTGCGGTTGGGTAGGGTCTCATTTTGGTGGCAATCACATTTGATATCATTAGTGCCAGAGAAGCTACAGAAAATTTATTCATTAGTTATTTCAAATGGCAGGCGTTTTGACTGTTATCATTAGCCCATTAGCTGACTTCAGGCTTCAAAGAGGGGGGGGGGGGGGGGTAATATCAAATTAGAAAATTCAAGGAGAACAGAGGAGTGGTTTACATTTGTAAAAGAGATAAACAGGCACAAAGGTGATAAAAAAGGTAAGGTGGGTTGAGTAATATGAAAGTGGTGGAATATGACATACAGTGGTGTCATGGTTGTTTGAAGTTAGAGGTCAACTGTCGGTTAATAGACTTTTTCGCAATATGGGCATACTTTGCCCAGGGTGCACCACGTGGATGTAAGTCTATCGCACACCCCAGCTACGGGAAATTAAAATAACAAATTTAAAATTCGATCAAGATTAATACTTAAAGGAAAACCAAATGCTACAAGTTTTGGATTACAAGAACTTTGGTTAAAATATTTTCTAAAATAAAGCGAAGAATAGGAAATTGAATTTCAGTTTTTAGCAGGAAGTCGTAACAGGACAAAATGAAGAAAATTAGTAATAAATAACAGCGGGCAGTGTCTGACATTTGTAAATGTTAAGAAATGATTGACTAACGTTTTTGTTAAATTAAAAAATGAGATAGATGGGCAGTCAAACGATATAATGAATTAATAAAATATTTATAAAATAAGGACGACGTCAAGTTGAGTTAATATAAAAACCAAAATGTTTTGGAATGTAATGTTTTTAAATAGTTATGTTAAATATTTTCAAATGCAAGTCATATAAAATATAACTTTAAATCATAACATAGATTTAATGCAAAAAACCATGAAATTATTAGAGATAATAGTTAATAACGATTGAAGCAATTTTGCGAGATATTGAGCCAACCCAGCCTTCACCGATTAACCGACGTGATTATATTGCCATATTTCCAATGGCTTTGGTTGATTACGGTGATTCTGATATATCTGACTCAGATTGCGATGGTATGCACTTCAAGCTTTACTAAAAATATTTAACAATATTTGTATAATTTTTATTAACTCTTATTGTCTTTCAGCGGACGTTGTTCAGGAGACCAATTCTAGATCAAAACCTTCAAAAACCGTATCAGATTTTCAGGATAAAGTGGAAGATGAATATAAAATGCGAATACCCAAGAATGTCAAACCTATCATTCAGCCTTTAAATATTCAGCGTAAAACTGGATTAAATGGAAAAGTAATTCTTTCCATTCCTACTGTTGAAGACGTATGCTCATATTTTTTTGTACTAATTCAATACTATAACTTAGGGATAATTTATTGAATGAGATTTCTACATTACAGCTAAATTCCTCAGATGATAGCGATGATGACTTGCCGAAAAGAGTGCAGGTTTGTTTAATTCCACTATACTATTTTCTCTGACCCAAATTAACCTGATAACCTCTCTCTTATAGGATCAATTTAGGAGTAACAAGCCGAAATCTTCCAAAAGTTTACTAGATTTACTTCCTCCTACTCGCTCATTAATAGTTAGAGAAGGTGATAAGCCTGTGCTTTCCCAACGGCTTGTACCTCGTCAAGCTACCAGAAGGCCACCTCCTCCTAAGCCTCTACCCTCAAAACCTGCTGGACCAATTGCAGAGTTTGACGAGGAAATCCTCGATGAATTACCCTCAGCAAACAGCTTCTTTACATTCGAAGCAGCGGTTGAACCTTCCGCTTCAACTCTTTCAGCTGAAGAAATCAGAAGAAAAACTAGAGAAGCAATTTTGGCCTCAGAAGCGTCTGCAATGTCCTCCACAGAATCGACAGTTGCTCAAGGTCCTAGTTCCTCTACTTCGACTTCTGGAAATTATCTTCCACCTTTAAAGGAAAAACCCTTCTCGGAGTTGGAACTACAGAAAAGACCCCGTGCTCAGCAACAACAGGGTGACAGTGATGGAGAATTTGCACATGAGGATGAAGAGGAACCGTTGTTCACAGCCGAAACTTTTATTCCTGGACCTGAGGTTAGCTTAGAAATTAATGTCACTTCTTTTTGCTTTGTTCTAAAATCTACAGGTCAAGTGAATTCTTGAACTTGATGCGTATTTCAAATGTTGTTTTTTTTACTTAGTAGCTCTAAGCTATTACCATGGCAATATACTGCTAGTATAGTTCACTTATTTAAATATTAGTGGTTGGTTGCTCGTTTATATCGCCTATTTAGTAGCCGATTTGCAAAAAAGTCCTATTTAGAAGTTTAAACTAGCTAGATATTGCGAAATAAATTGGGTTTTCCTGATTCAACCAAATCTCGTAATCTATTTAAATAATTTGTCGATTCTAAATGATCAAAGTGAAATGGAGTACACGATTTAAATACGAAACACAGCTTGAGAGTTGCTTTTTAGAGCTATGGGCAATGTGACTGACGGCACTTTAGTGATCAATTTCTTGTTCTTTCAGCGTAAAAAGGCCCGTATGGCACTCAGTGGTGTTAGGGGTCCCTCCTCAGTTGAAGATTTACTTGCGGCTGTACCTGGTGGACTTAACATTCGCGAAATTAAAGCTGCAGACTTGACCGCGGGGTCGGACTTGGAGCTAATAAAGAATGTCACTAAAGCCAGACCACCGAAGGTTGACCCCTCGCAACACGTGGTCGACAATCCTGGTAAATTGGCTTTCCGTAAACACCAGATCACCTGGCTGGCCTACAAGGTAATACATCTGCTTATTTGTTTGCCTTATTACTTATTCGTATTTAAGTACACGGATTTTATCCTTTTTTAGGCCCAGGAGAATGAATATGAACTTCAGGAACAGTGGGCTGAGGCAAGGCGGAATAAAACTCTTAGCCGACAAAAGTACGGATTTTGAAATGTCCCTTCTTCATTGTCTTCTTTTTAATATCTTTTGCACAACACTTTATTGCTTAAGTGTGTAAATATAATATTCTCTTTTGCGATCAGTTCGCTTTTTTTCTCAGCCTTCACTTTCTTGCTCTAATGGAAACCTGATTTTAGATAACATGCGTACGTTTCAAGGATTATGGGCAGGGTATCATTCTCGCTTGTTGGTTTTACTAAAAGATTGATCTTGGCTTTATCTATCTTTAAACTTACGAAAAGTAATCTGCAGCGGATTGCTACACTGGTAAAACCTTGACGGATTCAGAAATTTCTGGGGCAGATTCTTCTATATCTAGTTAGACTCCCTCTTACGCAAACGAAAGCTTCTGGTTGGCCATTAGTTGGGCGCACGTGATCAAGTTAGGCGATTGCGTGTCCCACTGATCTTTTCCCTATGGCTAGGTATATGACTGTGAAATGGACAACCATAGTTCTATAGAGGCAATCGTATATACATTATCCAATTTAGCTCAAATCCTGATTTGTTATGATTGCCATTGTGTTTCCTTCTTTGGAATGTACACCGCTAGTCAGCTCCAGCTAGTGACTTACTACTGTAGCATAAGTCAATCAAGATATTATTTCACATCTAGCCATATCAAAGAAATGGAAGTGAAACTTAAAATATGGGTTCTAATCTTAGCTCAATTCTAATTAACTTTAATGAGTTCACTGAATTTTTCTTAACTACTAGTTTAGCATTTGCAATTTAATTCTGTTAGAAGTAATACATTTCCTCATATGCTAAATAATGTCCACTATGCTCATAGCAATCCAAAACGAAGTTTTAGTATTCATTTAAGTTTGCAGATTTGCCGTAAACAATTTTAAATCCTACAGTCATAAACATGGTGAGTTAAAGGATATATTGGCAGAATTGCAACGAAACTCAGTCCTTTTACAGAGTGCTAAATGGGGATATTTGGTGGAGAGTAGGAGAACCCAAGTGTAACATTGTCCAGTTAGAGCGTAGATTGGCTAATGGCTTACACTTTTTCAGTTCATCTCTTCAAATACTTTCAGTGAATTGTACAATATTTTATAAATATTTTAAACTTCTATAATACTAAATGAAAATCAGCTTGGTGCGAATTGGTTATAAACAGATGACTTTGTCTAACTATTAAAGTAAATGAGACCAATAAAAGTTGTCGGTAAATACGGACTATTTCAAAGCAGGGATTTCGATTGAATGCGGTGAATGATTTAATTCAGGCGAAACTTCAGAAATGTAACAGTGGAAAAATTTACTAGCAGTTTTTAAAAATTTAATACCAATTACCATAATTGCGAATTTCAACGGAAGATTATGCATTCCTAATTAAGTGACAAAAGTTATGGACTTTAACCTGACATATTTGACACTGAAAACATAAATAGATTTTATGCCTAGATTATTTGGTAAATCTTTCGCCTTTCGCTAAAAATCTTTTAAATAAACTCTTCAAAAATACAGATAAAAATATTGACAATCCGAAAATTATAAATCAATATCCAGTGGATAAAAAAATTCGAAAGAAAGGATATTCATGAGACTTAAACCCCAGACTCAATCGTCAGTTAGCTTCACTTGATTTTCAAAATAAGTTAATAAAAGATGAATCAGTCAACCACTACTTGTCAGTGAGCTCTAATTTTCATTGAAATGGAATATTAATATGGGGTCTAAATATCTAATAATAAAATGAGATTCGGGGTATTAAAAATAATTTCAGTAAAAAAGACAGAGGGATAAATTTCAAACTAAAAGATTTTTAAAGGACACTCACCATCAGTAATAAGGTATCAGTAAGGCAAACGAAACATTTGAGTCACTTTAAAATGCAACTATAGACAGGTCAAAACTCTCTAACCTATGCAGTAAATATTTATCTTCACCACTTAATATGTTGCCAATGCTAACTATTGGTCTAACTTTAGGTATATTCGACATGTTGCTAAAAGAATTTAGCAAATAAAGTCTTGCTTAACTAAACAAATACTAATATTTAATAAGTGGGGTGTGCGATAGACTTACCTCCACGTGGTGCACCATGGACAACGTATTCTCATACGGCAAAAAAGTCTATAAACCGACAGTTGACTTCTGAGTTCAAACTATCATGACCCCACTGTTGTCATATTCGACCACTTTCACAGTACTCACCTCACCTTTCATCTACCATTGTGTCCGTCTCTTTTACAGCATCAAAACACTCTTCTGTTCACCCCCCCCCCTCTCGATTTTTTTCGATTTGATATTCCTCTCCCTCTGTGAAGCCTGAAGTCAACTAGAGGTCTAGTGATAACTATCATAAAGCCTGCCATTTGATATAAATATTTAATAAGTCTGCTGAATGTATTTAATGAATGGATTTAACCTTCTAATTCGTTGATAAAATGCTTATTTTGTAAAAAATTATTAGATTAATATAAGAAAACAGTATTATTCTCCAAGTTGATTCTAGCATGTTTTGATTTTTAACAGATCTTAGTGTCCGAAAAAAACAAATACTGAACGTTATTTCATGAGTCCTAAAAAGGATCAAAGGCCAAAGATTATGTTTCTAATTTTGAAGAAGATTCTTATACGTGAGTGGAAAGTGGTTTAGACGGTAATTATGACGGAAAGGCATTGAATAAACCACTCCCATGCGGTTTGGGTTTGCACATCGGTACCCTAAAACGAGACATTGCCGAAACATCACAATACCGCGTTAAAATAAAGAAATATTTCGTATATAAGTAAATTGTGTGAGGAAATTTATTGGAATCGCTTCCTAGTCAGCTTAATACTCATTGACCAATACGTGTGATCTGACCTACACCATCAATTTAACCAACAAACTGGTTTTGCTCCTTGTCTTACAAGCAAGTGTAGTTTTTTGGAAAGGATAATATATTGAATGCAGCATAAGTATTAGCCGACACTTTGTATGCCTCTCAAAATTTATTTGACCTTTAGTAGGCCTTTTTGCTGCTTACTAAATTCTTATACTTAGAATTAATGAGTGACAACTTTTTAATTTAGTGGTCAAGCGGTCTGAGATATATCTTAGTAATCTTAAATCTTTCCACTGATTTGACGTATCTCATTTTCATACTTGTCTGCGTCATTTTCTTGATTCATCACTTACCGGAAATTTCAATCGACAAATAAACTTGTAAATGACGTATTTAATTATTTTCAAAGAGTATAATCCGTTTACAGATGCGCAGTTAAGTTTGGCCATCATTATTTTAAACGTTAATAAATGGCTAACATCAATACTTATCATATGTTTTAAAAATAAAATACTAATAATTTCAAACAATGATTTGGTAATTCTAATATCACACCAAAATAACTCTTAATTAAAATCTTACATATATTTGTTATATACTTGTATTTTTAAGACTCTTTTGCATATGGTTTATTTTATATATAAATAATAAATTTTAACTTATTTTTAGAGTGTGATAAAGATAAATTACCGCTGTACATTCCCAATTTCACACAGAGGGATTACCGTTTCAAACTACATTTAAGCATAAAATATTTTCTTATCTACTCAAAAGAACATATTTTTAAATTTTACGATGGTCTACTTTATATAGAATTGTAGCTTATAATTTAATTTTGTTAGTTTTAGTTTTCTCGATGAGTGATATAGCGTCTACACACATTCAAAAAGTAAGAATGTGCAGTCTGAATTACCAAATGATTCGGACTGCTAATAAAGCTAGAGAGGCAGTAAGTACCTTTTAGTTTTATATCCTCTTAGGAAAATAATCGCAGTAAAAATAGAAGAAAAGATATACTTTTACTCTTAATGAGCTTTCTTACAAACGAAGGGTAATCAAATTTCAACATAAACGACCAGATATATTCATACAGCTGAGTCCTTAAGGTTGGAATCAAAGTTCAACTTTGATTCCTATTGCTTATGTGACAATATTGATCTTGATACTATTCTCATAGAATTCGAAAGTTATTATTTTGTCAAATTTAACAAATACCCGAAAATTACAAGACAGAAAGAAGGTACATTTAATGAAAATTGAATTATTTTTAAGAGTTAAAACTAGATAGTACCTCTAGGACAAATGGGTAAATGAAAATATGAAAAAATTACGTATATAGCACATCTCTTCCTTCGAGTTTAAAGCACCCTTCAAATGAGATGCGACGGTCCTGTCGGCCTTCAGCAAAAATAAAATCAATACAGGAAAATGAGCCTAAGATGGCTTCTGAAGATTTTACTTCTAACAAATCTGTTCAAGAATTGGTAGCTGAAGGCAGAATATGTAATGCACGGAAAAAAGAAACCGAAACTTCAAATCATGACAGAAAAGGTTTTGCTGTTTCTGATGACTCTTCCCAGCGTGTAAGATATGAAACATTTAATTATTGCTAACTTCTTAAGGATAAAATTTTAAAGCCTGTTGGATCCTTTCTTTGCTATTCTTCAGAATGGAGGGAGCTTGCTGAGTCAATTTCTAGGGTAGTTTTATAATTTATTTAATTATTATTTCGGTTAGGATATGCTAAATCATGACTTAAATGTCCATTGGAATGATATTATGGGATTGGATGAGGCAAAAGACCTTATAAAGGAGGCCGTCGTTTTCCCAACATCGGTAATATAATTTAAATATCTAGCCTTATAGTACCCTGAACTTTTCTCGGGTATTCTTACTCCGTGGAAAGGTTTGCTCCTGCATGGACCTCCAGGTAATGGAAATTTTTTTAGCACTAAGAGTAAATAGGAACTGGCAAAACATTACTGGCTAAAGCCGTTGCAACGGAATGTCGGACCACTTTCTTCAATATTTCCGCATCTTCAATTGTTAGCAAGTGGCGGGGTGACTCAGAGAAACTTGTTCGAGTAAGAAACATCATTGTGGCAATGCATTTTTCTAGGTTCTGTTTGAAATGGCGCGATTCTATGCCCCTTCAACAATATTTTTGGACGAGCTTGACTCTTTGATGTCTCAAAGATGTTCTGATTCCGGAAGCACAGTTGGAATGGGAGAACATGAAGGGTCTCGGAGAATGAAAACTGAACTCCTTATTCAAATGGATGGTCTAGTAAAATCAGATGATTTAGTGTTCGTATTGGCTGCTTCAAATATTCCTTGGTAAGCGAACCAAAATGGGCCCTATCTACTAATGATCCATAAGTAGCAATTTTGCTGACTTTTTAGGGAACTGGATCATTCTATTTTAAGAAGACTTGAGAAACGTATTTTGGTTGATTTGCCAAATTTTGAAGCCAGAATGAAGATGTTTGAAAATCTCTTGCCTAAGAAACAGAAGTCTGCAAAGCCAGGGGTGCCTCCATTAACCGCACAGATTGATTATGAAAGAATGGCTGAGATTACAGAGGGCTACTCTGGGGCGGATATTAGGTTGGTATGCAAAGAAGCTGCAATGAATTCTGTAAGGAAGGTATTCTACATCTTGGAGAATAGAAACAGTAGCAATTGTAAGTATTGGCCATAAAACTCACAGATATATTACATTTAAAATAATTTTAAATGTGCACTAGCTAAGTAGATGTTTTCGTTCGTGTTGATTATAACATAGTTAGACTTTGTAATTGATAAATTTGAATGAGTAATAGTAAGGAGGACGAAGATAATGTTGGATTAGACTACATAAAAATTAATTTCATTCAGGTAACCAGTAATAAATTTCCTTTAATTGGAAAACTCCGATTTTTCTCTTAATTGTATTAAAATTTACTAGCAAGATGATGACTCGTTCATGAGTCATAAGAGTCATTAGCTTGGAATAGCTCGAAATGCTGCTCTAATCACTTTAAATATTGAATTAGATAATAAGCCGAAATTCAAGATAATCTATTGCACTTTACCCCCAATAACACTCTTTTTAATGTGTTACTTTTCAGCATACAGCGATGGTAAATAAGCTTTTATCTATCGTGGCTACGCTGTTTGTGAAAGAGTCTGTATATGCCCATAAGTCGTTAAATGAGTAATGTATAAATTCAGCTTCGTTTCAATCATTATTGCAATTTCATTCGTTAATCCAAATCAATTCAAAACAGTAGTTTCAATGAGTTCGAACTAGTTTATCATCGTCTGTTATCTTCTTGATATTCATGTGCCCTCTGGTTTTCCCACCTGTTTTTGCTTTCATTTGCATTCATACAAATTTCATTGATTTTCCCTCAATAAACATATATTTTCAGAAAGCCCATCCTGAAAAATCGAATTTAGGTGATTTAAACGGCTATAGCTCTAACCAAGCCGTTTTGTTTCTGGAGAAGTTACGTGAAGCCATTCAGCACTGTAGAGTAGTGTTCACATATTTCTTGTTTTTAAACGAATTAACTTATAGATTAACCTAGATGTGATTTTAATATTTCGAAAAATTCCTCAATGTATAAAGCTCGGCGTTTCAATCACGTGTTTCAGCAAACTGACATTGTTGACAATACGCCAATTTAATATGGCAATCAGGCAGAGTTAACTTTTACTTATCATCTACTTTATTAGCCTTTTTTATTTTAGCCCTTCTCCAAAGTAAATTTCACTTCGATCCAATAACGTCGGATGATGTGGAAGCCGCAATTCAACGCACAAAACCTTCTGGGATGGCCTATGCAAGAAGATACCGAGATTGGCAAGAAAAATATGGGTCCTCATAGGAATACTCTCGCTCTCTCTCTTTTCAATTTACTAAATCCCGATTTTAATATAGCAGTCGTCAATTCGTTGAACAAGCGTTTTTCCATTTTAACCCAATTTCATAAGGATAAAATTAGCCCTCTAAAATCATTATCCCCGTACCTCTCTTCTTCCCAAAATGTGCCTTAGAAAGCTCTTTTCTTAATGGGCTTAGTAGTTAACCTAATGCTTAATTGGATGTTTAATAAATTAACATGATACTATGTTCTCAATTATTCATGTGACTATACGGTTGATGCATTAAGCATGAACGGAACAGGGGAACTTAAGTTAACTATAGAACTTCAACTGTAAATGACGATAGTAGAAATAGGGTTTGAGGTTTTTAATCTTGAACCAATTTCACTGGGTGAGGAGAGGGGAGGGAGTTTGGGATACTTGATGAATTTCAAAGTTAATAGGTTAATTAACTGAGGATAATCTTACCTCTCCATTGGTACTAACTCGACAAGACTAGGTGCATAAGACAAATTGACGTAGTTCTGCTCTATGAGATTGCTCACTAATACTTAAAGGTAGCCGAGTAGGATACACAGGAATTTCGTCCACCGGAGTCATTGATGAAAAAGATATAGTAAGATGTTGAATAAATAGTCACCTCAAGGAAACCGAAGGGTAGTTTAAATTTAAAATGGATTTTATTAAAAAGTTCATTTAGAAAAGCTCTTTTGATTCTTACTTTGAGTTAAGTAAGAACATCCTTGATGATCTTTATAGAGAGGACATTCAATTCTATTACTCCTTCTACATATACATATATATATATATACATATATATATATATATATATATATATATATAGA